CATGCGACGACATCACATCAAACAAAGCATTTCTTCTTTCTTGTTTATTTATTTATTTATTTATTATCAAAGTGCATTAAGTCTCAAGAATTACTTCATCATCATATTGTTATTCTAAAGTGTATTCCTTGAAACACCAACAATATGAGATTGATAGGGGAGGGAAGGAGGTGAGAGGAGCTCGTGAGTCAACGTAGTCAACCGACATCAAAGATGAGATGCTATCTTCCTCTAAAAGACTTGGGGAGAAAGTGACACGTGGATATATTCTGTAGAAGAAGCGGTCGGTCAGCTCTTGCGGTCTCTTCCTGCGCATAACGTGTTGGAAGCAAAGGATTAAGAGTGTGACAAATCAAGTAAATATTCGAGAGATAAAGGAATGGCTATCGGGTGGACCGGAAGGAATGATTGCGATATGCCTGTGATCCTATCTCCTACTAGAGGGTAATAATGGCGACATGATGTGCCACGACGTCAGCCCCGTTTGAACGATACTCTGCCCAACTAAGACAATAATGTCGACGCGATGTGCGCTGACGTTACCCGCTCTCAGACAACAACACGCTTGGCCGAGGCAAAGGAAAACGACGACCGAGGCACGCCTATGCCCTGCGGTAGTTCGGTTCTCTACGCAACGCCAACGACAATGTCAGACGCCATCAGAGGTACGATCCTGCTCCTGCAGGCAGACACATCATGTAACACTAAACTTACCTATAAATACCCCCGAGTTCTAAACGAGGGGAGAGCAAGGAGAAAGAAAAAAAGACTTCTTCATCTGGAACCCCCTCCACATCTACTAACTTGATCGTCGAAGGGGTCGGGCCGAGCTTCCGACCCGACCTGTGTGCAGGTGCAAGGACGGGGTTGCTTTTTTCCGACGCTGCGAAAAAACCTTCCTCTCGACGCAACGGCCCGACCGGACCACTGTAATCTGCCACGTGAACGATCTCGAGGGGCGTCGTGCCAGATCCCTGTCATTCGGACCCCAACCAAGCTGCGTCGGCCCCGAGGCCACGGCATAAAGTTATTTACACCAACACTACTCTTTCTCTTACTACGGTGGATCGGTCCCTGGGAAATGGACAATGCTCCTCCTCTGATGAAGAGGGGCATGGAAGATTGCATGGAGTAAGAGGCCAAAGGTTTGGCACGACTCGCAGGAGACCTCTGCAATCCTGTATTATATGATCACCGAGGAAGTAGGGGAAGCGGTCACTCCAGTATTTCCTAATCTTTAAGAAGAGGCACACATCGACGGCCTCTCACGATCGTTCCCAGGAAAACCAGTCACTGTAATTTGGTGATGACAAGGCCGAGAACAGTAGGACGAGTGACGAATGGCGTTGCGCAGGGCAAAAGGCCGGAGACCGACACGGGGGGAGGGAGGGGGACAAGGCATGAATGGAATGTAGTGAGTTGGAGAAGACGTGGCGAGAAAGGGGAGGGGAGGGGCCAAGTTTATTCCATCCCCTGAGCCTTTACCAGGTGGCCCTCCTCCTCCTCCCCCCTCACCACTGGGGCAGTCTTGCATGGAATTGTTCCTGTTGGTCGTGGACGTCCGGCAATGGCGATGAGATCGATGATGTGGCGATCACGTCGGCCCTGCACGCCGCCGCCATGTGTCGGCCGCTCCCTCGGCCGGCCCATCCACATGCGCTGCGACTGTTGAGAAAAGTGGAGTACATGAGAGGAAGTTCACAGAAAGAAAGCATACAGTTTCACATTCCCCCTCTCATCTTCTCCTTCCCAATCATCCCCTCGATGACTCTCTTCCCCCTCCAATAATATGAGCTTATTCTTCCGTTCAACGTCGAATCATCCTTATCCATTGTAAATCTAAATCGTATACAACTCGCTCTCTCGCTCTCTCTCTCTCTGTGCGCTCCTGTGGGCGGTGCTGGTGGCAACAGTGACGCAAAGGCACTCGGTTGTTCGGGAAGCGTACACAAAAGGCTCACCCACAGTGTGCACTCAAGTAGGGTAAAAGCTGCGAGTGGGCTGGTGGCCCCCCACCTGATACGTATCCTACCTAATTTGGATCCGTGGTTCTCTTCTCCAGTCCAATCTCGATCGCGACCAGATTGGACTCGATTGGATTCGTTCCCATCGAGCCATCCTATTGGGAAGCGTAGGATTTGGTTGGCTACCTTTCTAGGCATTGACCACTGCAGCCAACAACACGCCACTAAACACACGGCCTGCCCAATGATGAAACCTTGAACCAAATCTCTCCCAACTTGGTGTTTGTGCTTTTGCCTCGTCGCCAGGTGGTCGGAGTCCCCCAACCCGTCCCTAACATGGCAGCCTCTCATTCCCCCAACGCATCTCAGCTTGCAGGCCCCCACTCCCCCCCGCTTTCCTCTCCCTGCGTGTCGACGGCCATGGGAGAAGCTTCGCCATGTGAACCTCTCTCCGCTCGTCGCCACCAAGGAAAACAAATAACAGGTGACGAAAAACGAAACCTTTGACGCCGACTTGGACCCGAGACGCAGCCGGTCCACGTTGAATCCAACACTGGTTTGACCACCCCACCAACGCACTCACGCCCCCTACCTTTAAATCTCCCTCCTTCCTCCTTCCTCCTGCCACTTCCACTGCTCTCTCCAAACCATGCATTACTTCCTTGAGCTCTTCGTCGTGTTGGTCCTCGGCAGCGTCGCCATGCATGTGTCCGACCCCGGCGTAGCTTCCTCCCTTGAATCGCTTCGGATCGACGGCAACTTGAGCTTCCATGACGTCTCCCTCGCCGCGAGGGACTTCGGGAACCGGTACCGGCTGTTGCCGTCGGCGGTGCTGCACCCGGGCTCGGTGTCGGACGTGGCGGCCACGGTGAGGCACGTGTTCAGGATGGGATCGGGGTCGAAGCTCACCGTCGCGGCCCGAGGCCACGGGCACTCGCTGCAGGGGCAGGCGCAGGCCGACGGCGGGATCGTGGTTCGCATGGAGAACCTGCGCGGATGCGAGACGAAGGTGCACGACGGTGAGCAGCCGTATGTGGACGCCTCTGGGGGGGCGTTGTGGATCAATGTTCTGCTTGAATGCCTCAAGCATGGCCTGGCGCCCAAGTCGTGGACCGACTACCTTCACCTCACCATCGGAGGGACGCTGTCCAACGCCGGGATCAGCGGGCAGGCGTTCCGGCACGGCCCCCAGATCAGCAACGTCCACCAGCTGGAGATCGTCACTGGTTCGTCTTCTTCTTCTTCTTCTTCGTTGGCAAGCATCACCATGTGTTCTGTGCATGATTTGGATCGAATTGTCGAGTGCAGGAAAAGGCGAGCTGCTCAACTGCTCGGCCGAAGAGAACGCTGATCTCTTCTATGCTGCTCTCGGAGGCCTCGGCCAGTTCGGGATCATCACCAGAGCCAGGATTGCGCTTGAACCTGCACCGAAGATGGTACAAAGATCACAACACCTTCCACACCAACAGAAGTGATGATTAATCCTCTCTCGCTCTCTCTCAACAAGTCCATGATTTCTGGCGCAGGTGAAGTGGATTAGAGTGCTGTACTCTGACTTCGCCAGCTTCACAGAGGACCAGGAGATGCTGATATCATTGAAGGAGACCTTCGACTACATCGAAGGCTTCGTGATCATAAACAGGACGGGACTTCTCAACAATTGGAGATCATCGTTCAACCCACAGAACCCTGTTCAAGCCAGTGAGTTCGACTCCGACGGCAGGATCCTGTTTTGCCTGGAGATGACGAAGAACTTCGACCAAGACAACGCCGAGACCGTGAACCAGGTAAAGTTACTCCACACCACATCGCCTCCCATGCACGTCCGAATTGGATCATCCCCTCAAAAGTCTAGTCCTCCTCCTCCCCTGTGGCTGCAGCAAGTCGAAGCTCTGCTGTCCAAGTTGAGGTACATCCCGTCCACCCTCTTCCAGTCGGAGGTCTCCTACCTCGAGTTCTTGGACCGAGTTCACGTCTCCGAGGTGAAGCTGAGGTCCAAAGGCCTGTGGGAAGTCCCACACCCATGGCTCAACCTTCTCATACCAAGAACCAGGATCAGAGATTTCGCAGCACAAGTCTTCGGCAAGATTCTCCCGGACAGCAACAACGGCCCCATCCTCCTGTACCCACTCAACAAATCCAAGTAAACCACAGTAGCCCATCAAGATCATCGAACAGTGCCGCGTCACTGCATCTCGACACTAATCTCTCTGCTCCACTCCACTGCAGGTGGGACAACAGAACATCAGCAGTCATTCCAGACGAGGAGATCTTCTACCTGGTGGCCTTCCTGTCCTCAGCACCATCTTCCTCGGATCACGACAGCTTGGACCGCGCGTTAAAGCAGAATGATAGGATCTTGGACTTCTGCAAGCAGGCAGGCATCAGGATGAAGCAATACTTGCCATACTACACCATGCAGGAAGAGTGGAGAGCCCATTTCGGTGACAGATGGGAGGATTTTGCTCGGAGAAAAGGCGTTTACGATCCTCTCTACATTCTTGCGCCCGGACAAAGGATCTTTCAGAAGGCGGTGCGGTCCTCGTGACGATGGCCTCGGCGCAGCGCCCGCAGCTCATCTCGTACAGGAAGAACTGCCACAGATAGTTACTCCGATACAAGACCTTCTTCTCAGCTTGAAACGAAGCCATCCATTATGAAGACCTGCACAAATGTGGCATCAGCAACTTGGCATGTAATGAACCATGGATTTGCCACAAGGCATCAGTTTCTTGCTTCAAGTATAGAAGGGAAAGAAAACATATTGCAGATGATGTACATTTTGTCAGCTAAGGAAAATATCATTTCTGTTGTGTAATGAAATCGGCATGTTAACTTGGAGTTAGTATTAGAGGTTGATTAGGAGTCATTCTGTTGTCTATTGAGTAAATAGTATGACTCTGGTCAACCAGAAACAGTGAGTCCAATACCAATGAATTAAAGAGAGAGTGAGTGAGTTTTTGAAGATCTTCTGAGAAAATATGTGATCCTAAACAACCATCAAACAACAGGAATATGTCACAATTAAGAAAATGATCATGTTAGTGATAGCAGTCAATAAAAGATGATCAAGAGATTAATCTTTAGAAAAACAAATTGAAGATATGAATCATGAATTTTTCTCATATTTTATAGTTGAATAAAAAATTAAGATAAAAACTTTTCTCACATCAGAGTAACTTCAAGAAATAAGGAGGATTTAAAAACATGGCAAATTGTAACACTCTCAGAGGAAAAAAAGAAAGAAGATAAAACAATAGAATTCATCTATCAAGTAATAGTATATCAATATATTCTTCTTCGGATCTGTAGAACTAGGATTGGAGGCTCCACTTCTGCCAATTTTCTCACTTGGAAAGCTAGATTCACAAGGTGAAATAGAACTACATGGCAGCTTGAATCGGTTGCCCTCATGTCACTATCCATCAGTTCCCTTTCCAGCTTTTTTGTTGTCCCTCCCATGACTTCCTAGTTTCCTGTGTCATATTTTTGTCACTTATCATTCAATATCCATCACTGCAAAACATCATCCTTGAAAAAAACATGCTTTATGATAAGCATCTGATTGATTCTTTGACAACATTTCTTCAATTATCACGACTCTTTCTAGTTCTGATTGATACTCCATTATTTGCCTTTCAAAGTGCCAGTCCCACCAAAAAGTAAGGCTGATATCCCTGGAGGAAGAGAAGGATAAGTTCTAATCAAAATGGGCACAATTTAGACAAAATAAGTTTCTTCATTTGGTTGCAGAAATGCTGACGTTAATAGTCAAAGTTTGATTCTACATTTGGACTACAAAATGATATGTACATCAAAACGATTGGATTTGTGTGAAGCCCTAAAGCGACTCGGCAAACTGCGGAGCCTCCAGATCGAGCTCCTGCTTCATGACACAGTTCATTAACCAGTCACTGCTAAAAGTCCATGCTCCCTTCTTTGCTGCTAACAAAGCCTCTGACATGTCTTCTTCACATGCCAAAAAGATGGTTCTTGAAGGCTCATTGATGCAGCCGAAGCCATGCATTACCTGCACATTTTCATCACCATCAATTAATCATGCTTATCTCTACCTTAGAAACGCATCATGGCAAGACATTATAATTCATAATTGTTCATACAGTTTTGACTTGATAACAAGTAATAAGTAGCTATCTACAACTTACTAGTACTAAATTTCATTTGGCAAGGTGATTGACTTGTTGGTGAGTTTGGAAGTCATCAAATTGCTTTCTGAGGTTGTAGCTTTTCTATATTTTTTATAAGATGATAAAAATATTCAATATCTTACATATATCTAATGAAATCTGTCTGATAATAGGGGAAAATGCCAAGGTCCAAGATGTAAGTGATATTAAGTATTCATTCGTACTCGGTAAGGATGAACTCAGTATGACCCATCGGAGGGGATCAAGCAGCATTTGACTGATGATAAGGTAAATTCAAGCAGATAAAAGAAAAACAAGAACCTGCAAACATTAAAAATGCCTAGAAAGAATAATATAAAAGTGTCACAATACATTGGAAGACAATAGCAAAGTTTAAATCTTGATGCAGGACCAGTTTTGGCAATCTATTCGACTGGTATGATATTGGTGTATCAGGAAGTAGATCAACCCGTACTGCTCAGTATCAGCTAAAAAAATTACTAAAAGATAAAAGAGTGATCAGCATCAGACTGTATGGTCTGATACTGGTCCTTCCTCAAACCAGTAAATACTGGCCCATATGGTACTATTTGAAACCATGGGCAATAGAAAGGTGAACTAATTAAAGTTGATGATCACATATAATTTTTGGTTAATTTTTAGACTTCCAAGTAAGTATATTTCCTGTAAATGACAATCATTAAGGGTTGCATGAATTATTCATACTACTGGATTATTGCTTAAAGATAAATTAAGAAACCATATGCAAAACTCACCTATAATGTTTTGAATATGTTACATTCTTTTATCCAGAAAGACAAGAACTAGGTAAAAGGAAAAAATAATTTGCTAATTCCTGATAAGTTTATTTTATTTCATCATGTTGGAATTCATCTACTCTATATCCTCTTGATGTACGTAACAGACACAAGGTAATTTTGCTAGCAGTTGTCACTATTTGATAGTTCACAATGATGCTGGGGCTTCCTATAAGTTTGTATTTCCAAGTATCAAGACCAATGCATGCCCAATAGATTAATCTAAAAGTATGTATCAGTCAAATTAGTTGTACAACAAGATCACTAATAGCTCAGAATCAAAAACATATAACCCAGGGAAGAAGCAAGCAGATCACTGAAGGCAAGTCACTTTAAATGTCATGCTGGATTACAACTTAAGCATTGGTACCTAACACGTGAAGGCAATGTTAGGGCATGCAATCATTAACTAGAGACACTTGGATGCTTCTGACTTGGTCATAAATAAGTACATTTTGATGTAAAAGCATTTTGAGAGCAGTTGGCATTTAACATGCTAGTCTGCAAAATGGTTGCCAAGTCATAAAAAAATGCAATTTAAGAATATTATGTGGCAGCAACAAATTACAAATATGTAGCTAATGATTGCATTTCATGCTTTATGTACTTTCATAGGCTGCCCACCTTTCATAAAGTTGATGCATAACATTATACAAATTTGATGGAATACATAAATTATAGCAATACAAAGATCAAGGAAACATACATTGCCACCAGCTGACCGAATAATGGTTGAAACGATGCCAACAGAGGGCTGAATATGCTTCGTGAGGCAGACATGATATCCTCTGAGCAATGATTTGGGATTTGTTTTTGCTCTATTAACCACATTTCTCAAGTCGGTCTTGTACTTCAACAAATAGTCTTCGTCTTCTAGAATGAATTGCGACTCCTCTGTACAAGGAAAATGGAATAAATTATTGAAATAAATGTATCCTGACTGTTGACCTTTTAAGAATAATGCCCCAAATCCAGTCCCATGTTGGAAATGGGAGAAAACATGCTATTTATAAGGGTTTGGAGGATATATTATAATTAATTTAGACTTAAGCATTTCGAACCATGTAGCAGTAACACCTTTTGTTTTGTAGTTTTCTATGAAAAGGACCTAAACTGTGGATAACCTATACATTTGTCAAACATAACAGGGTCAGAAAGAGCATATCAGCTCACCTAAAAACCTGCCTTCCCTGAAGCTTGCCTTCAGCCATTTTGGGGACACTATCCATGCTCTGATGAAAAATTGCACATGTAGACAATTAGTAAGAAGAGACATACTATATGAAATTAGCTGCATCAGAAGAGATAAGAATGACCAAAAAGCACTAGCTATTTGCCAACTTTCATGATCATCCCATTATCAGAGAGATGACCCATGAAAATTGTCATCATATTGGTCACAGGAAGAATAGCTTAAACTTATTTGAACTTGGTCCAGTTTCAGTGCCTTTACTTCATTTGGATCAATATCAGTTGAAATCTGTCATTCAAAGGGAAAGATTTGTGGCAGACATTTATAATACTCCCATATCTCTTGGAAGTCTTTCCCTCTTCTCAACACATTTCTCATTATAAGCCAAAGAAAATAAGACTTTCTTCAAAACTCACTTATCTTTTGGTATACTTATGTCAATGAAGATCGTTGTCATGTTTGTGAATATTTAATCAGGTAATCTTCCTTGGAAATTATATTCTACGATTTCATGAAAGAATAATTTACAAAAATCATTCCATCCTTTTCTTATATTATGATATGGCTGACATCAAAACCATCGAAATGTTCGAATGGAACCATAGAGCAGAAACTGAAATGGGAATCAAAAACTCCAAGCAATGAGCACAACCGCTAAGCAAACATTAACTGACAGGATCTAAGTTATCAAAGGTCAATGAGCACTGAGTGACAATGATTTAAAAAACTCTAGGCGCCAAGGTCCAAAAATGCCCGAGGAGCTAAGCGCTCGCCCGAGCGAAGCGAGGCACTACAATATAAAAATATATAATATAATTAATAAATATAATTATTTAAATAAAAATATGATATTAAATTAAGAAAATCTTGCAAAATCATAATAACACATTAACAAAAAGTCTCAAAATTCAAAACAATATCAATAATTTCAAATAAATAAAAATTAGCAGTATTAAAATCAAAATAATATATTATTAATCTAATAAATAAAAAATATTGTTACTAGTATACAGTTAACAGTATACTATTAATAGTATACTATCGAGTCGATGTGAGAAGAGTGAGTAAGAGTAAGACTGACACGGGAGTGTATAATTTACTACAATCAGCTCATATGGACCTTGCCGATGCTATGATATTTTTTTCAGCCCACAATGTTGTCTCATAATTTTCAACTCAACTCACTCAAATATGACAGCTCATTACCACATTCCTTAGATAAAGTTACAGCTATTTCAATGTGCTGTTCTTCATAACCAAGGAATACATTAAAGAAGTTGGTTACCAGTCGTAAAACACTTAATTTCGAAATTTCCTATGCATGAAGGGTTGTTTCATGCACTAATACTTATTTTGTTGTTTAGGGGTTAGAAAGAACTTTAGAAACTAATGATATTGGCAAAAGCTCTCTTGGAATACTCTCTTAAACTCTGTATCTCTTGGATGCGTCCTTGAGTGGTAAGTCTTTTGTTTTTAGTTTTGTATCTTTGTTTATTATCCTTGGGATAGTGATCTTTCTGTATCCATTTGTTATTTTGAACTTAGTGGTGAACTTTCTTTTTGATTTTATTAAAGTTTTATCGTGAGTTTGTTTATTTTCTATCTAAAAAACTGTACTATCATCTTTCTATCGAAATTCGTTCTACATTTACCCACCCACCCCCCCTCGTATCAAAGACAATAGCAGCAAGCAACAGCAGCAGCGACAACGACGGCGGGGATAGTGGCAAGCAACGACAACAGTAGCGAGCAACGATAGTGGCAACAATGGCAATAACAATAGTGTTAACAACGAGCAACGGTAGCGAGAGCGCAGCATAAGAGTAAGACCGATGCTGCTGACTGAGAGCAGCAGCAGCGACGAGCAGCGATAACAGCATCGAGCAACGATAGTGGCAACGGCGAGCAGCGACAGCGAAGAGCAATGACAACGGAGAGAGGCAGTGACAGCGGAGAGGAAATATCGGCGACAGAATCACGAGGAGGGTTAGGGTTAGGGAAGTCGTGAGAGGGATGCTAGGAGGTTGATATCGATGCTTTAGTTGGTTCGATTAAACTAACTAAAGCACCGGGGTCGCCTGGTTTAACCCGGGCGTTAGCCCGAGCCCAAGCGTCGAGCGCTTCGAGCGAGCGCCCAGGCGACACCTCTTTGAAGCGTGCAGCCTGGACATGAAGCGAGGCACTCGGGCCTCGCCTCGCCTCGCCGGAGCGCCCGAGCGCCTATTGAAATCGCTACTGAGTGATGAGATTGTTTGGAACCTAGGTTGAGGCATGAAGTGAGGGATATGCCTCATCAAAGTAAAGTGCAGTTGGAATGACAATTAACGAACATATGATCTAAAAAATAAATCAATCTACAAAAGTAGTATTTTCCTACTACTTTTTTCCTTATGGATTTACCTACAAGTAAATAGTATGTAAACAAATGAAAGGTTAATTTTGGCTTATTTAGCTAAAACGGTAAAACATTGTAAAATTATGATAATTGCAAAATGGATTAACATGAAGATGAGGCTCCCTTAAGAAAGAAAAAAGAAAGTTGCTAAAGCAATGCAACATGTTATCAACAATAAGGCATATTGTCCCAACTAATTGGGGTCAGCTATGTGGACTTTTTGCCACCATTGAGCTCTATACAAAATACTATTCTTACTAAGTTAAAAGCATTTAGATCTTCATATATAGTTTTAGTTGAAGCCTTCTAGACCTCCCTGGATCTCTCCTAGCAACATTAATACTAGATATCTCTTATAGTATATATCTCACCTCTTCTAACTATAGTATCTGCAGATCTCCTTGGCAATATGCATATCATTTTAAATGACTTTGCCTTATTTTATCCTCCATGGAACTATACAAAAAAAAAAATCTACAGCCATGTAATAACAAAAATTAATAGAAAATTTAAAAAAAGAGCAGTAGTAGAAGAAAAAAAATTTGAAAGAATGGAGGGATGGGCAAAACAATATATAACAACAACAGTTCGATAGAAAAATAAGAAACAATATATGAAGAGATAAGGAACAACAAAGTAGCAACATTATAATGAAATCAGTTTCTTGCCTTTTGGCAAATAAAGATGAAGAAAAATTGTCCCTTCATTAGTTTCTCCCATTCCCAAAATAAAAATTGTCATTAGAACAAACAATAAAATACTCCAACTTAAAGCCTTATTATATGAAAGAAGTCCAATGGCAACTATCATAAGATGTTTCTGGGTTTCAGCCTCAAATCTTTAAATGAAACGCATAACGGATGTCCCATGTTGAATCCACTGAGCTTCAAATAATATTCAGGTACAAGAAAGGACCGAGGCAGAACTAGCACCTAACATGCCTAGCCAAGTTACATCATAGTTTATCATCAACAATGATGAGAAACTTACCCAGAGCACAGAGCTATGGAGAAGTTCAAAGTCCTTCGTGCTTTTCCAGTAATAACATGTGTACTGTTACTTCCATCGCATGTGACAGAACCCCCAAGTTCCTCAACTATCTACATAATTCAATATAGATTTCACAATAACATGTCTTAGAATATACAGAAGCATTTTTAAACACTGATATATAATTATTTCACAGCTAGTGATAGAAAATGAAAAGATCTACCAAAGTCTGTCATAAATGCTCAATAAGTTTCATATGCTTAAAAGTGAGACTTATTACCCTTCTCAAAGGGTACCATTCCATGCATTTATGTTAGCCAATTGTTGATGATGACCTTAGAGAATAAATTCTCATCAACCATTACTATTTCACATACTGAAATGGAACTGGAAGATGTTATTTCATAACTCTCTTTGGCACAAAACCAACTCTTACTGTTCTTCAAATGTTCAAACTTTGAGTCAGGCTAAGCATAGGTGCATGTTAAAGTGCTCAATTCTGTTTACCAAAATAAAAACTCTAGAAATTCAAACATTTGCATACTAGAATATGATTAAAAGTGTCATTTGTAGCATTCACCGAAGCTGGGGCATGGTACCTTTAGATGTTACCTTTCCCAGTGCTTAAGTTTAAACAAATAGGACTTGCTCGAGTGATGCAAGTGCAGTTTGGCAAGATCACCTTTTATTAAGATCAAAATTAGCCAACAGTGAATCTTGATTTACTTGGTAATAGGCTGTTATAATTATCTTTAGTACCTGATTCTAGATTAATTGATATTTTATTCCCCAAAATACAGTAGTGCTCATGATCAAGTAAAATATTCATGGTTCTAAAAGAAAACATGATTTAGAAAATCAGCAAGGTATATTACAAGTTGACAAGAAAGACTCACTAAATTGGCTCATTTTTTTTGTGTTCGAATAATTGAAATATTTCATAACAAACTTTAGTTATTCAACATATTAATCATCTGAGAACATTGTTAAAATCATATTGGATGACTATTACCCAATTAAACAATTGAGCATGAACCCTCCTTAATTCAGTTGAAATATCTTAATTTTAACATCTATCTGCTATCCATTAGTTAGTATGTGAAAACTATGAGACATAAGCCAATATGACACTACCAATGTGTCATTCCCCAAGATGAAGAGGTTTTACCCAGCAATGAATGAGCTAAAGGGTGCTGATTTCTAACAGCATTGCAGCTCTCTAAGAACTTAATAGCATCTATCAAAATTCAATATGAATAGAAACTAAGAGAAGCAACAAATTCTTGATATTTTCAAGAGTCAAGGCATTTGCAAATGTTACCTTAGTAAGCCATGTCTTCTTAACATCATCAGCAATATCCATGAACATTATTCTAGGACAATTTTCTTTTGAAACCAGATGATCACATAAGTCACCTGATCTTCGTCCTGCATCATGAATTCCAAAACAACTAGGACTAGTAGAATGGTCAGGCAGCACATTTGCCATGTCTGTGTGTCTAGATGATTGCAAGATGCAATTGTCACAAGCAAGACTCTGATTTGAGTTCTGACAACAGCCAATAAGATGGGCCCCTCTGACTCTCTTTGACTTAAGTGAAGATAATGAAGCTTCCCAGATTGGCCTCTTTATTCTCTGCTGAGAAGAGTTATCTTTAACATCAACATCAAACTCCCTCACAGCCTCTCTTAAATTAATTTTACCACTGTTGCAGCCTATATTATCTGGAGAAACCAAATCAGTTAGGCACAGAAATCCAGAAGTCACAGGAAGGAAACACGAGAAGAAAGAAATTATTATGGCTACTATATGCTAGCTCTATTATTCTACATTTCAAAAAATCATTATTATCACGACCCAGGCCTGATAGGCTAACTGGCCTATCAACTTCGCTTGATCTAAATCACCAGTCAAAATGTTTAGCCTAAAATTGATAAGTAGTACACTCACTAGACCCTTATAAGTCAATCTTAATTTTGTCCACTTCTGATGTAAGATTAATTGGGATGTTACAATTATGTTTCAGTATTGTAAAACCAGAAGGAATGACAATCTGCAAAGAACTTATTTCTAAATTTGCATGTCATGCATCTGATAAATTGTGCTAAAGAAGGAATTTACTTTTGTATTACCCTGAAAGAAAAAGGTTGACAATTAATATCATTCTTGTGCAAAGATACATTTAGGAGAAAAAGTTCTGCCCAAAACATGCAAAATGACTTCTGTTTACTATTGGCAATTGTATGTTGATCTGATCTTGGGAATTTGGTCACTGTAAGCATTATCATGCAAAGAAGACTTAAATACCAAAAACAATTATGGTGATTTCATCACTGCTACTAAAGAAAAAAAAATATTTGATAATCTTCCAATTTTAATGGAGCAGATTACATAAAAAAAATCAACATTTTATGCCTATCGGCTGCAAGTATTCTCCTTTGTTAAAAATCAAAGAGAAAAATCATTTTTAACTTGGAAAAATGTTCATCATGACAAAGCTTTCATAGTTCTTGCAAGTTTATAAGTTTGAGGAGCACTGGAAAAATAAAGGTTAAGATGTTGCAAAGAGTTGTCGATACTTGTATCCTTCTTAACATGAGCAACCATAAGCATTGAACCACCAGGAAAAGATAATTCCCTCCTAATATCTGCTCTGATTGGTAGCCTGCTAACTTTGCCTTTGCTGTTTACCTCTCCTATTGTTATGAAACCCTGTGTTGCATCCATGAACAGAAAGTTATGACATACCAAAGAATCATGATCTCTTGGAATGGCTAATTTTTGTCAACATGTAGAATAGAGCATCAACAGAAATTATGTAGCTGTCAAATTTTTAGGGGCTTTCTAGTAACAACTATAAAGTTGCATAAGCAAAAAATGGTAGAGACAAGGAAAAATAAGATAAATGAATAATTAAATGATTTCTTTTATCTAACATCATGCATGTATAATACAGGGTATGCTCCATTGATCTAAAATGTGTGATAGGTAAATAGAAACAACTCTGTCAAAAAATAAAGAAACAAATTGCCTTTGACTTATTGCTTAGTAACATTGGATAAAGGGTAATTGCAGGCCTGGAGACACAAAATAAGTCAAGTAAAACACAGGCATAGAAAACTAACCTGTAGGGTCAATTTTCATCTTATAAGATTTTTTAATATTTTGTTTAAGAGGAAAAATCTCTTTTTCATGAGTTATGTAATTTTGAAGGAATACATGAACTCAAGCATCGAGGGCATCAACTGAAAATAAAGTGCCTTTTGTGAACACATGGAGCAGCATACATACTTTAATTTGTATGTACATATCTCAAGGTTTGAGAAACCATCAGATTGGTCCAAACAGATCAGTATTTTCTAGTCCGGTGTGAAACTAGTACCGATCGAGTATGGTAATATTAGGTACACTAGAGAGTAAGCCTACCTTCCAATAACTAGATGCAGTCCATCCCATTTAACCTGATTTCACTTCTTTCTTCATCCACTATCAGCCTAGTTCACTCAAAATTCTTCACTGTCTATTTTTTCCCTCGAAGTTAGCTCAATTCTTATCAGAATCAAACTGCAATCCAAGGAATGTTGTATCGTGCCAACCAATCGTATCAGTCACTAGGCGGATCGGTACATACTGGTTGGTACCAACATGATAAGGTATAGCTTATTACACCTGTTTCATCTCGAGGCATCATGACATTTATTTCAGCATTAGTAAGGACCCCTACTAATAAGGTATCGCTTGTATTATATATAACTCATGTATAATATTCTACTTTTAACATGTTCAGAAGTTTTTACTTGTGTATTTCTAGTATGTGTTTTGCAATAGGTCTTAAGAATATATGCTGAGTCATTATTGAGATGAATAATCAGGTTTGGAAGGGTGTCGAGCTAGAATTGACTGGTACTAACCTATACCAAGTGTTGATGTGATTGTAACTGTGCCATATTGATCCAACTGAGGATCATATCGGTCTTGAACATAGATTTAAAACTAAACATGTTCTATATGATAATTGTATTACTGTTCCCCAAAATATGCAGTTCCTTAGTAAACAATCCGTATGAAATACCTGCTTAAGCCAAAAACCTTCTGATGTCTTATCTGCCCAGCAAAATATTGTCAAAATACCCACATTTTGAAGTCTTTCTCTCAATTCCTTGTACAAGGCTTGACCAAAACCCTAGAGAAATAGCATCGTTATCACTGTAAAGCTTGTGGCAATTATAAAAAATAACAAATAATCTCTCCAGACATTTGACTTCAAAAACTAACAAAAGATTCCACAGGCATCTTTAAACCACAATATGTCATAAATCATGCTCAAAGAAGAGTAACTTCAGGTTCTAAAATTTACACACAGAATAACTACAAGTGAAAATTATCTATTAAATCAATGCGATGATGAATTAGCTCAGGAGCATTAAGAAAAATCACTATATCAAAGGCAAAGATGAAAGTGTGCTTGAAGTTCTCATCTATTATCACACATGATACGAGGACAAAGTTTTAATGTACCATGTCTGTTCTTGCTAGTCACTAGTTGGCATGGCAAACCTGCAATGCTAAACTGTGATACCCACACATGGACTGACCTTATTTATGGAGCCACACTAAATCCCATCAATTTTCAGATAATATGGAACCATTGAAAAGGCATGCAACAGATGTCATCTATATTGTGTCATTATCTCCTTGCATAATGTGATCAATGTGGAGCAAACTCGAGCCATTTTGAGAGAAAGTATATAGATCAGGCTAGGAGATTGTTTGATGTATTTTTTGTGTTTCTAATTGTGAGCCCTATAGATCTATTGGAACTGCACTGATGTACTAGTCCAAGCAACATCCAGAAAGATTTTCTAATAATGACATTACCAAGAAATTATACAGGATAAGTCAAAGCCTGGCCTCTTCATTGGTTCACTAGCAAGCCTAACATAGTTGCATGTTAATAATACAAAATTTGGTAGGGCAAAAAAGATACATACTGCTAGAAGCCTAGAACTTAATGCACAATGAGATGAGTATCACATGTTTGACACATTAAGTTAATAAGGAAATGTCTACTGTACATTAATCACAAATGGTCATCGCCATATCTGTTGATTTGATTTTTGTTAACTGTCTAATGGCCTTGCTTTTCTTGCAGAAATATATTTTTTCTTCATCAAGGTCTGAAAAAGAAGTTACATCTACCTATATCAACTAATGTTATTATGTGCATTTCATGATTTGACAGTAATTGACACAGTGAACAGCACAGATTGCACCTGAACTGACAGCAGATGTATACTACTTATAGATTATCAAGACAGTACAGTACATCAGCTCATTCATAAATGCCTGTTCTATTCTTTAATTACAATAACATCTATCATTGATCTCTATGCACTAGTGGGTACACGTCAACTACATATATGTTACTCGTGAATTGCTACTTATTATTATAGTAAACTGAACTTTCAAAAGAATATATCACCAGGGTATAAGTAGGAAATATAAGATAGTACTAGTACTTGGCAACTGTACATGTTCCTAGAGTCTTAAAAAATTCAAGAGCATCTCCTTTCAAACATAACCTATAATATCTAACGACAAGTTTAAGACAACATCAATTAACTGTATGTGCAATTTCTATAGGTTACTCAGACAAGAAGAAAGCATGTAGCACATATACAGAAGAGGCAGAGGGGGGAAAGTACGAAGACACGGATGAAAATCGTGCTCTTACCATTTTTTGGTTCTTTGAACTGACAGCAGTAAGAGGTATTTCAGCATATTGAGTGTCATTAGGAATTATTTGATATGATACTGCAGCAATAACCTGTATGTTACAGAGAAGATGGATCAACAATCACATTACAAAAGTTAAATAAAGAACTTTGTGAGGAAGCACAAACAAAAACTATATCTGCAAATTCTGTTTTCAGACTTCCTAATTTGTCCATAGGGAAAAAGCATGTCTAAGGGCAGTGCAGATGCAATAAAGGTAAATGCAACACTTGAACAGGACCCAAGAAAATATGCAAATTCAAAGGATTGTTATTGTATATGCACAACATTTAAAATTCTTCTTCCAATCAGTTTCTGCAACTTTTGTATATCACATCAAAGATCTACCGCCTGCTACAGATGCTTTACCAGGCTTAGGACCTGAGGAGAATCAAAGCAATGGCTGCTCACACAAACTACAAAGCAAATGATAGTATGTTTAGCTTGAATTGGCGCCAATGATCTGGGATCTTCATCTATTCAGATGTTTCCTAGAAATTTTTAAAACAAAAACCAAACGCCCAATTAGGAGCATAACAAGCACTAACTCATTTAATGACAACATTATAATTCATAAGCATGCATCTATTTCTTAAGCTATATATATTCATAGGACCCTTTACCAAACTTTCCAATTTCAAGCTCATTTACATCTCTTCTTCACTTCTTTGATACAGTTACTGTCAAACTTCTTTGCAAGCCTCCTTAGACTCTTAATATATGCACCATAAAGTCTACCCACCTTAGACCGTGAATCAATTCTGAGATTTATAAAAAATATCTATATATAATATGACACCACTATCTAAATCCAGATTTACGTAAAAAAATGGGCTGTTCTGGGTCATGATATAGATACAAGCATGTTAATTACTTTGGATAGTAATACATGGGGATTATGATTAGTTGTTTCATTGTTTGGAACATTGTGCACAGCAAATCACTTTTTTCTGTCACTAGATTAGATATGATAACTTTGTCTGATTAAGCAATTAATTGTCCATCGGATTGGGTCAATAATGCTGGTAGTAGAATGTCTAAAATGGTTATTTCCATTAACTCTCTAGCAATTTTATTGTTTTCATTTACTTTCCTTAACTCAAAGTGCGGGAATGTGATGAATTTCATTTGTTTACATTGCAAATCTGCCAACTTTAGTAGATGGGTTTAAAGTTGGCCAAAATAAGAAGGTTTGAAGTGCAGTTAAGAATGATTCAATAGACATGCAATATATGCTAGACCACGAAAATTGATGTTGGTAAAACTTACCTCACCACACCCATTTACAGGATCTGATCTCAGAACCAAGGTCGTATATTTTCTGCAGCAAAATAGAAAAACAAGCATTAGAATAATTAAAGTGTCATCAGCATAACTGAACGTGCACCAGCTATGACAGAATTCAGGACCATAAAAAAGGGTTGCTGATTATCTTCAATACCAAGATCTAGCTAAGAAAACAACTGCCTTACCCACTCGTTGTACATTTTTCAAGAAATTGGGATTTCTTTCCAGTATTTGCAGCATAGTTCATGGTAGGAAGTTCTTCCAAGTAAAGCTCTAGAACTTGCTGCAAACAAAAATAAAGGGAAAGATATTGATTTAAATGGTGAAAGGAAGAATCTTCTGTCGTCACAAAACATCCAATGTATTGTACATTGAAATATCAATAGGTAGAGGAAAAAAGTTTCGAGGTTAAACTACCAAAATGAGATCTTTATTAGAAAGAAAAAGACAAGGAAAAAATTTTCAAGAGTATACTTGAAATGTGCTAGTCATACTCCAAGTTATTACATTACTTCAGCTTCCATTAAGAATGTTTAAGCATTGTCATGTATGAATCAATTAGTTTTAACTGGACACCAGAGAAAGATCAATTTGAGAAGTTGCTAAAGAAAATCATTAGCTGTTTTATGGATATCGTATCAATAATTTTTTTATTTGTTTCAATCACCACACGAAGTGCCATGACTCACCTCTAGAATATTCCAAATACAACCTGATTGGGCAATCACATATTTGATTTATGCTATTAAAACCACTGTCAATATTTTAAGCATTTAAACAATGTAGGTGCCAAATTGCAATAAAGCAACCTGCCCTTGCATTTGCACAAGAAAATTTTTAAAATTTAGTCATGACTTACTACCTGGAGCAGGGATTTACTATGGCTGTCTGCATCTTTAGGATTTAGGAGCAAGAATGAGTGATCTCTTGAAGGAAATCCCAACATACCTACAATAAAAAACGGTGAAATTTATCTTAAAAGGTGGAAACGAAAGGCACAAGCAAAATTTAGGACTAGTGGAACATGCAAATATGTTTGCTAGTAAGCCGTATAGCACCATCTTTTTTATTTTACATTCAGACTTCCTACTTTCCCATCTTTTTTAAGGAACCAGGAATAATGCTTCAAAAACCCAAAAGAGATAGACAAAGTTACTCGGGTTCTAATGTATGTCTCGGTTTCACAAATAAGGACGGTCATGGACACTACAGAAGTTAAGAGCTAAAAGAACAAATAGATGCCAACTAATACCATTATCTTGGTGATCGAGATTTAATAGAGTGGATTTGCAAGTTCTCCTTCTTGAATAAACCTGTGGATCGTCCACTGCATAGAAAAAACAAAAAAGAAGCAGGAATGGCATGACTCAGAAAAACACTGCGGACAGAGAACCAAGACGTAATCAAAGAGATCAAGAGCCAATAGAGGGGAAAATGTGCCTGAAATTAGGATTTTTGCATCACTGGAGACGGAAACGCGAAGACTTTTCTCGCTGCTCTCGCAAGAAACGCCGTGCCCTTCGATTACGACTTTGCAGTTACCTGCAAGGTCAGTGGGAAAGAGAAGAAGCCTAGAGATCAAACAAGTGAGGGTATGAGGCTTCCGATCTTAGGGATCTCTCGGGGCAAAGATCGATGCGTGCATTCTTCTAGGGTTTGGAGGATTACCGATGGCAATTGGAGAGGGCGAAGAGTTACTGATTCCCGCCATCGCCTTCCCCCGAACACTTTGGAAGCTTATTATATAGCCGGCATGGCGTCATGGTTTTCCCCTGATCCCGTCCATCTCCCGGAACACGAAACTTGTTACAGCTTGATATTTGACGCGTGGCATAAAATGTGCACCAGCAAACTCCTTTATTCCAATATAGACCCAATTAAATCTCAACCATTGGATCAATCGATTACATCGCATGTTTAATATATTTCTTTGAGAATACAATATTAATATATGAATATTTTTTTGAAATATGATAAAATTTGATATGAATAAAATACTAATATATTAGAGTTTTATTCTCCGTCGTCTCCATCGTGACACACGCTTGAATACTTCTAATGAAATTCAAATATCATTTTTAGTGAATTAAGACTTTAAAGTATTTTAATTTTTTTAGGTCATATGATTTAAAAAATAAGTAGAACTTATTTAGATTTTACAATTGGGATGATTTTACCAAGTTGGATAGCACCTTTAGAATATAATAATTTTGATTCGACTTGGAAGGTGACTTTTAAATTTGATTTTAAAACCTAAATATTTGAAAAACTTAGTACGATTCACATTTGAAATCTTTATTGAATTAACAATATGAATATTTGATCCACGCTATGATTAATTTAAATATTAGAAGTGAAAAAAAAGAATTTTTTTTTTCTTGTTTCCTTATTATTTTATCATTTCTTTCATTGGATTTGTCTTCATCTCTTCCTGCATATTATTCTGACTTCCCTATATTGTCTCTATCTTTTTTAAGACTATGTTGGCCTTCATCGAGTCTATTATCTCACCTCTCGCTATTTTTTATTCTGACCAGCATCATCACCCTTACCTCTTCTCTGCTCTATCTTTTACTATCTTGTGCATACTTCAACGAACTTACCCCTACCTCTATGAATCTCATTGCCGCTTGTTAGAATTGTTCTTATTTATAGCTCTTATATAAGAAAGAAAATGATATGAGGATTACAATGAGACCGTGTAGGCTACCCTCTTGATCCATCATCATCTTGGCAAGGGCAAAAACAACAAAAATGACATATTATAGTATTGGCTAGAAATGATGGTTGATAAAGATGATATTGTTATTTTGAAAAAAAAAATACTCTCCAAAAAATTTTAGAAATTAAGACATTAACTATGATTTTTTCCTAAAATTTGTCCATAAATAATTGTTATTCAGGTAGGATAGTATTTAGCTTCCTCTTAAAATAATGGAACTAACAACAAAATTTTAGATGAAGATTAAGATGACAAAAGTTACTGATTGTAAATTTGTCGAGTATTAGCGATGTAAATCATATGAAACTTTTTTTTTATTTAAGTAGTATTTTCGAATGTAGTACTTCAACAAATTCTTAGTTAATGGTTACCATCAACCAAATATTATATAGGAATTATACTAGTAAAATAAATATATGAATGAATAAATAAATAAATGGCCACCACATGGGTGGAGGGGACCCGCACGTTTGACCTCGCCAATTTATTTTGACCAATCTTTGACTTTTTTGGTGCTGGATTAGGGGGATGCGGGCTGACGTGTGAAACTACGCTGGCAATATTGCCGGGGCCCATTTGCGCTTACCTAAGGTCGATAGCGAGACGGGTAAGCCCAAATACTGTCATAATTAAAATTAAATATTTTCCGTACTGAATTCTGCAATGAATATATATTTTAATCCTTATATTTTTAAAAATTATATTAATTTTTTTATATTTATAAAAAATAAAAATATTTGGTCTCGTTTCTTTTGCATCTTCGACAAAAATATCATAGGATTTATCACTGAAAATCTCACTTCAATTTATTATTTAGTACATATGATATTTTCGTCAGTAAAATTGAAACAAAATTAAATGCTTTAGTTTCATGAGTATAATAATAATAATATAATTCTTAAAAATATAAAAATTGATATGTTAAAAATAATTAATTACAGAAGTAATTAATTAGTTTGGAATTTACAAGTTAGGTGCACAAGGAATGACGTCACCCTCTGCGACTCTCCGGGGTGTTTCAGTCCGCTTGGAGAAAATAGATAACAATAACGTTTTCATCCTACCAATTTTTTATAATATTTTAAAAATTGAAAAAAGAACTAGCCGTTGGAGAAGGGGGAAATCAAGCCCCAACGGTAAGAAGACGAGGACCCCTCTCACCCCCGATCAATCCCCCCTCTCTTTATATCAATCGTTCCTCTTCCCCCAACCCCTCTTTGCTCACTCTCTCTACGGCCTTCTCCTCCTCCTTGTTGAACTATCTCACTGATAGGAAAGGGAGAGAAGAAGGTCGGGCAATATGACGACAACGGAGAACCAAGACGTGCAAGACAACATCCCCCCCGCCGCCGACACCGCTCCTTCGGCCGCCAAGCACACGGCTGCGGCCGCCAAAGGCCTCGACGGCCAGTCTGTCCTGAAGAGGTATTGCAACTTTCTCACTCTTTCTTGGTTGCTCTTCTCGCGGCTTTTCCTTTTTCTTGAAGGATCACTCTTTCTTGGTTCATCTGCTTCCGCCATACTCGTGATTATCGTGAAGATTTGATCTTTGAGGGCGGCATCTGGTTTTTGTGATGATTTATGGCGTTGTCATGATATCCTATCTTTCTTTTCTATCCTCTTTACTCTTTCTTGATTGATTTTCTCGTGGCTTTTCCTCCTCTTGAAGGTTCAGGAACAATCATCACAAGCACCGAAGTCGTTGTCCATTTAATCATTCTGCGTGTCGTTCATCTGTTTCTGCCACATCAACTTGATTAGTCTGTGTTAAAGATTTCATCTTTTAGGGCTTTTGTGATGATTCATCGCCTTGTAATTAGATCCTTTCTTTCTTCTCGATCCTTTTCACCGCATGCTGACTTCTTTTTTTTTTTGTCTTGATGCAAGCAGATTGCAGTCGGAACTGATGTCCTTGATGGTAAGCAAGAAGAATTTACTCCGCAATGATAGAGTTACATCATGTTGGTCTTCGAGTAGACGTCAGGCATTATATGAGCAGGAAAAAAGACTTGGGACTTCGATCCACGAAGTCTCTCATTTCAATGTTCGGTGAACCTTATGGTCGATGTGTTCTTGACGATCCTATTTGCATGCTTGCTTGTTCTCTTCTTCAGATGTGTGGGGATCCTGGGATATCAGCCTTTCCAGAGGGAGACAACATCTTTTGCTGGAAAGGGACCATCACTGGTAGCAAAGAGACAGTTTATGAGGGCATGATCTACAAACTCTCCTTTTCCTTCCCTACTGATTACCCATTCAAGCCTCCAAAGGTGAAGTTCGAGACTGTCTGCTTCCATCCAAATGTCGATATCTACGGCAACATCTGCTTGGATATACTTCAGGTTTGGAGATGAACAAAGTCACCATCTTTCCTCCTTCGTATTCCTCATGGTCTGATGAATGTTTCGGGTTAACAGGACAAATGGTCATCTGCATATGATGTGAGAACCATACTGCTGTCAATCCAGAGTCTGCTGGGGGGTAAGCATGAGCTTTGCTACATAGAAGAGTTGCTTGATTATTTTCCTAATGACATTATTCTTATTTCAGAACCAAACAATGAGTCTCCTCTCAACACCCAAGCAGCAGCACTTTGGGTCAATCAAGAAGGTGAGGAATGTGATGCAGTCCTATCGAAATGGTTCCTCATTTATTTCTCTAAAAATTCTTCTTTGTCTGATGCAGAGTTCAGGAAAATGGTGGAGAAGCTGTACAAACCAGCCTAGTTCATGGAACTCTGGCAAACTATATACCAGCAGCCCCAAGTTGGGGAGATTCATACTCAATTCTTCCATGCACCCCTTTGGCTTTCTTACTCCGCATTTGTGTCACTACTGAGCTGTCTCTTTCATATTACAGCAAAATAATGTAACTTTTGTTGATCTAAAAAATGCTGCTTCTCTTTCTTATTATCCAATAATATCTCATTTCGAAGTTTAATTAGTCCTGCCAGTCAGTTTCCCTTAAAGATCACAGCACAAAAACTTCTCTACTATAAATGGAGCTCTTGTTTTATCTCCAAAGAGTTAGAACATTTTCTATTCTTTTGCGAATCTATATTGGGCTTCTTTAATCCACGAGACAAAAGGGTCCAAGATTTATGAATAATAATACTCTTTAGAATTATTTTGCACATATTTTATGTATAAATCTAGAATAGTCTATCAATAAAATACATATATTTATGGAATATAAAATGATCAATAAATGTAAAAAAAAGTTTTTGAAAAATACACGATAAGATTTTTGAGTTTTAGATACGAAGTTACAAAGTCTCAACAGGCAAAAAAAGAAATCATGTTTTTTGTGTTGAGCCGACGGTCCACATATTTAGCTCATAGTGGACTTTAACAATTCACAACTTACTTCCCTTTGACCTAACTCTACATCAAAATTAGGAGGGTGGTGTGGCTGCAATTTTAGAGAAAAAAAAGACAGTAAAGAGGGAAAAAAGAAGAAAAATTGTTACAACAATTTGATTCAACGAGAAGGAGAAAAGAATAGAAAAATAAGAAAAAGAAAGAAAAGAAAACAATGATAACGTAGAGAGATTGTTCTCAATCATCTAGTAGTATTTGGTGTGGCTGCAATTTTAGAGAAAAAAAAGACAGCAACGAGGGAAAAAAGAAGAAAAAATGTTATAACAATTTGATTCAACGAGAAGGAGAAAAAGATAGAAAAATAAGAAAAAGAAAGAAAAGAAAAACAATGATAACGTGGAGAGATTGTTCTCAATCATCTAGCAGTATTATCATTTCAGGTTAGATCATATATATAGTAAATTCTTACTGTGATTACTTAAGGAGAATTTAGATATTGTGATATTCGTATCATAGTTATTTTTTTGTGATTGTTGTTAAGGTTTTGGATAAAAGATTGAGATTTATATATTCATTATTTTCATAGTGGATTATCTCTAGTTTGTTTCATAATTTTTACCTTTTACGTTGGAGGGGTTTTCCACGTATATTCTATTTGATAATGATTCTATTTAATTCCACTCCGGGTTTTCTACGTAAATTTTAATATTCTATTTGATAGTGATTCTATTTAATTCCATTACTTATGACTTATTAGTATTTATTCATATATTGTTCGAACTAAAATATGCGAGAAAACCCTTTCTATTCCTAGTTTTAACAGCTTTTTGGGTCCAAGAAAATGTGCATAGAACTATTAATGTGCAAAGATCCCACGCGATCTTTCTCCATTACCGCCCCGAGCTCTTTACCGTCTGATGGAGAGCACCAATGGCCACATGTGGATCCCACAGGAGCCGTTATGTTCTCCAATCACAAGGCTGGTAGTGGCCGCGAGTAGGTTCTTCCTCACTAAAAGTCGAATGGAACGCTCGTTTGTTCTCACTTGACCCACGTGTTTGCCGTGTGACGCAACGCACCGATGACCACATGTGAGTTCCACAGGTGGGCTGTTCACCTTCGCCACTCAGAAGGCAGGTAGCACGTGGGTATTATAGGTCAAAAAAAGGAGGGCTTTCTGGCCCTCTAAAAGTCGATCGGAACCCTAGTTTACAGTCGTAAATCTGCAGGCGCGCTTCTCGGTTATCTCGCAGAATGGCGACGGAGGCGAAGCCTGCTGCTGCCGAAGATGTTAAGATGGATCTCTTCGAGGACGACGACGAGTTCGAAGACTTCGAGATCGATCAAGGTAACGTAAAGCTGATCTCTTCTCCGTATTGTTTGGTAGAAGCATAGGAAACAACACTTGAAGACATAAAGCCCTTTCTTTTAGCAGATTCGTATGATGCATCTTTCAAGAATCCGTGAGTAGAGTCAGTTGTATGTGTCTCTTGTCGACATCGCTGCTTAGATTTGCGAATTAACGAGTGACACAAGGAGACATGATATGGTAGTTCATATCATGTCCTAGATTTGTGATCTTTAATCCTCGTCCTAAGCATTGGATTCCATACTGCCAACACCAAGCTCTGAAGGTATCGATCAGCATCTAAGGGAAATTTCTTACTTGATTTCATGTTGCACGACTGCCTTTATTCATGTCTGGAGTTTATCTTCCAAAGTAGTGGTAGATTGGGTCTAAATCTCAAAACAGACGAAATTCGGATCTTTGCAATCACACATTTTCAGTACTTAGGGTACCCTACTGTTTGGAGTTATCCAATTTTTGAAAAGGCCAGACTTAATCTGTTTACACAGCTCTAGGATGCTAACAATATTCGTTTAATGGAAAATACACGAGCTTTCCCATGGGACCAAATTCTTCTTTGTTCATTGATGCTTGAAACACGGGAATGAGATGAAGCGATGCATCTCATTGTCTTTTTTTCCCTGTAGGAAGATATAATAAAATTATCATTGACTTGCATTAGTGAGGCAAGGAAGAAGAGTGATGACAAGATGAAGGGAAAGATCATGTGTCATATCACAGTTGTGGATTAAGGCGATCTGTTAGAAGGGGCACAATTTATATGCAGAAGAGAGACTGCTTGTTAAGTGAAAATACTTGAAGTTTGAATGCCTCTGATTCATTCTAGGAGAATTCTATGACCGATTAGCTGTCAATACCTGCTGGATTGGTGAGATTCTTGGATAATGTGGGTGTAAGTTGGGCAGAAAATATAGGAACCTTATTTGATATACAATTCTCTGTCCTCTGTAACTTCATTTTTTTCCTTACCGTGTATTGTTAATACGTGAGCTGTATGATCATATGTAATTCTTACTAATGAAACATCATCATGCTAGCTTTGTTTTTTTACTTGTTTTTCCAATAATTTGTTTTTTCAAAGGATGTTTGATCCACTCTCTTCTCTTTGCACGAGGTGATTTTGAATGACCTTTTTGCATTACCCCATCTTCCAACTTAGTGGATTTTTACCAGAAGGATACTGAAAAGTAACTCTACAAAATAATATTTCCATGTTCTTTTTCTTTATGAACATCAAGAATTGTTTGTCCTTTTTTTTCTGAAGTATGTGGTTACATATGCTGAGTACTTGCATGTGCATGGTTCACTTGTTGCCACTGTTGTCTAAAGCGCTAGGCAATATAAAGCACAAAGGTTCCTTTTTGCTCAAGGCATTAGTTACTGAATTAGGCATTTGCCTGAGTAAAATAAGGCGTGATAAAAAAACTATGGGAGTTTATTTATGTAACAATAATCATTAAAACAAGAACTTGACTCAAAATGAGTTTTATATTATTATGTATGCATGATGGTTATCACCAAGGCACCAAATCGCATAAGCATAAAGTGTCTCTTAAGTAGTCAATCAACAAATGATAATTACACCAGTTCATATATAAATAACAAAATGAAAGACATTTAAATATCTTTCAATCCAGGAGTTCTAGTGGTTGTCAAGGTGCATCACATCATCATCATCATCACTGATATTAGCCTCTTATTCTATTTCCTCCTTTTTATATTTACTATCCTTGAACTTGATGTTTGCACTCATAGTCGATGCCCTTTTTTCTTCAACTATAGTTTCCCTTGCTAAATCACCCTGTATTTAAATGTGATCATCAAATATTAAATCATCTTGTGTGTTGGACATGTTAGCACGCTTATCCCAACAGATTATTCATTTGAATCATCAATATCATCTAGAGAAATAGGATGAATAATTATACACAAATCGATGTTAGCCTCGAGTGCTTGATTTTGCTGAATACACATCGAAGTACTTGAATTGGTATCTTTTATTTTTATGAATTTGTTGGATGAATTTAATACATTAGGGAATAGACAGAATACCTTATGTGTGGGTGTCAGCGAAAAATCTTGTTAGGCTAGAAGCTCAGGTGAGTCCTAGGCAAGTGTCTGATTGTCCAATGCCTCAAGCGAGATCTTTTTCGGCTGGAAACTCAGGTGAGCCCTAGGAAAGTGCCTGATTGTCCAATGCCTCAATCAGGGTGCTTGCCTAGGCATGGCCTATGTGAGTGTTTGAGCGCTTTGACTTTGCCTTGCCTCGCCTCGCCTCGTCTCACCTCGCCTCGCATGAGTGCCTATGAGAGAGTATGAACACCTCTTAATAACACTATTTGTTGCATGTTCCAGAAAAGATTTTACATCTAAATTTGGTTTTTGAAAACACAGTTAAATTATACTGGGTAGTTAAAAAATCATCTCTGTCCTTGGATTTTTTAAAATAAATATTTTGGTAATGCACCTTATCTGTCCCTTTAGATCCAACAAATATCTTTGTTTCCTTGGTAAACCAGAGAGAGAGGAGGCCTCTTTTTCTCTTCTCATTTGTTCATGGGTTTCACTGAAAATAGCTGGTACCCAGTAATAATATATGCTTCATGGGTTAATTTTTACTACATACTGAATTTACTTCCAAGCTCATGGTTACATCAGAAAAAGAAAGATGCTAAGCTTTCTGAAATATACCAAATTTATTTTTAAATCAAATTAGAATGGCTACCTTAGAGCCAAATTGAAGTGCTTAAATTCTCTCCATTCAGCATTTTCTTTTCATGTTTGATGATTTCATCAAGTATCCTTGTAGGATGAGTCACATGAACATCATTAGCATAGTGGAGATGTAATGTCACTTAAAAAGTTCAGAGCAAACAGTATGGTGCATTGATTGTAGCATATAACATCCTAGTGTATCTTATGTTGTCGTCAATAATTTGGAATGTATTGGTCATGTTTTTTTTTTTTGTGTTTGTCTACAATTAGTTTGTTAGTTGATAAATTGACAATATTGTGGGAAATCAAAGATGTAGTGAGGAAAAATAGTGCTTCTCAATAAATATCCTTGTTTTTTTTATCTAGGCCAAACAGTCAACTTAATGTTATACTTAATATCAGTATCCTGATGTGAGTCATACTGCGGTATCTGTGAAAATGCAATTGCTTAAACGGGTTAGCTGGTCCACTTATATGGAACTGTTAAATCCCACTTAGTGCACCTTGTACTGCCTCTTCCACATGAAATGGGAATTTAGACTCCTACTGAGCATCCAGCTGATTCCTTTTAGGAGTCGGGCTGAGGTATAGTGATCTTAGATCCTGATGCACTGGTCAAGTTCTGGGCTGGTGCTGGTGTTATTTGCAACAAAAGTGCTCCACCCTTTATTCCATTTTTGCCGACTGGCTCGAGATATCTTTATTTTGTTTGTTTTACCAACTAAATGATGCCCGAACTCAAATTATTTAATATGTTAACTTGAGATTTGAAGTTCTAGAAGTTGTAAGTTCTGAAAAAAGGCATTACAAGATCTATCTGATTTGCATCACAGTTAAGTGGATCATACCTCGATGTAATACATATTCCATTCTTTACTCAACATTTTCTATGAAGTGCTTGAATTAAAAATATCACTCTTGCATCTATATCTTATATATTTGTTTTATTTTCTATAAAGACAAATTTTCTGTGTATTTTTGGCAGTATACATATTGCTTGAGTTAACTAAGTCAATAGTTGGAAGAGGGATGAAATCTTTAATCTTTATGTCGTCATTTTGATCGACTGCAGAATGGGATGACAAGGAAGAAGGTAAAGAAGCCCTGCAGCAGTGGGAGGATGACTGGGATGATGATGATGTTAACGATGATTTCTCCCGACAGTTGAGGAGGGAGCTCGAGAACAAGTCAGCGAAGAGTTGAATATTAACTTTACAGAAAATTCTTCCATCCATATCTCTGTGCTTAATCGTTACATTTGTTCGTCCATGGTTCACTGATTTGACAAGTTGGATTTTGCTGCATCGATTAGGATTTGCTTGGGCGATCCAAAATTTCCTATGAGTCACTTCTATCAGTCCATTATTTTGACATTTTGATAGTGACTTGTTCTATTTCTAGCCTTCCATATGGTTCTATTGACATATTTTGTATTTTTTGGAGGAATTGAGACATGTTATGCAACTGCTGCATGACCCCTATTGTAATGGCCAATCAAGTGATCCATTGCTACATTCCTGCATAGTCCATTCGAACTGTTGCTTATGAAAAAT